ATTACAACAGCTAGCTTTAGTTCTCAAAAAATAACTTGTGATTTTCAGTGTCTCAGTATTTGGGTGCCAAATTTTAAATGCATTAAAAAGAGTCCTAATTTGGGGAGGAGGGTTGTTCAGCACTTTCTGAAAATCAGGCTGCTCTACGTTATCTCTTGCTGGACAACCAACATCACTGGTCACCTTTGAAAACTTTGGGTGGTTTTCTTAAAGTTTTATGGGGTGTACTCTATGGTAAGTACTTACAGTTTAATGTACCTGTTACACTGCTATATTGTACTGAAGAGAGTCTGCTTTACAAGGTTAAAGTAAAATAGCTAATATAAAATAATAGAGACAGAATTAATAACATGCACAAACTTGCTGCATATAAACAGTACTTTTTTCTTTCTGTTCCTGTGCTATATTTTTCTGTAGTAGACTAAAGTGTATTCTCTAACAAGGCAATGTTTGCTAAGATAGTCACTTTTTTTCTGTATCTTTATATTTATAGGCAATGTATTTATTACAACTTTATTTCTTGAAATATATATAAATTTGTATTTATAATTATATACAACATTCTATTATAAAATTTATGTTTACATAATAACTGCCTTCAGAATGTCAACTACTTGGGGCCCGGGCTCTGCTGCATGTATGTCAGGTTTAATCCTTTGTCAAGCACGATACACATTTATGATGCTATATTAATAATGACACTAGAAATTTTTTGTGGCGTTGATGGCTTCTTTGTGTCATAATGTCATTCAGACATCTGCCATTGCTTCATATTTTTTCTGTTACACTGTTAATAAGATGTCTTTTTACATATGTATAAATATTAATTTTTATACGTTACACCACCTCATATAAAGGAACAGATAGACTGATTCTGGCTACTGGCCTATGCTTCCTAATAACCAATCTTCCTTTTTCTACATTGTCAACTGTATTTTCTTTAGAAACTGTTCACTAGTGATTTTAAGAGTAAATTCAAAATTGGGCATAAAGGTTAATATGCATATACAGAGGTGAGAATAAATATCTAGGTAAATGTATAAATAGGAATGTGCACATGTTATTGATACAGAGTTATAACTATCATTTGGTTCACAAACAACTGGTGCAGTATTGCTATACCAAGGGAGGAAAGTAGGATTTGACAAGGCATAGATTTATACAGGTGTTTGTTGTGGCAATGTTATACATGGAGACATACGCAAGCGGCTGTTTTACAAATTGCTTGTGGTAGGAAGATGTGTGGTGTGACGAAGTTCCTCCTCTATCTTGGCGGGTCCTGCGCTTATTGGTGGATTTTCTTTCCTTAGAGATTCACTATGTGGGTTGGGGAA